TTTGTTTGTTTATTTGGCCTAAAATAGTAAGTAGTACATGATGGCTTTATATTTGTAAAACAAGATTATAATGCATTAAATATATGCAACTTAAGTAGGAGAATATTGGTGAATAGAGACGAGTAAATTTTTAGCAAAAATCATTCAAAACGTCTCTCATATTTTGTGAAATGACTTTTTTCGTCCCTCACTTTTAAAAGTATTTTTTTACGTACCTTACAAATTCACATTGGTCAAATTTGGTCTCTATGCAGGCTTCCGACTAGTTTTTTTGTCAGAATTTATCACATGCCTTGCAGGTGATCATTTTTAGGGACAAAATTGTCAAATTAAAATTTATATAATCTGATCTATAATCCCTTATATTTCACAAAATGAATTATTTCGTCCCTTACATTTCACAAAGTAAATTTTTTAATCCCTCACATTTCAGAAAATAAATTTTTTCATCCATCATTCACCATGTATATAAATAGTTTTTTTTAAATCTATGTATATATCTATTTGATTTCACATAAATAGTACAAATAACACGTAATATATCTCTATTTGATTTCACCTAAACAGACTAATTATAATTGTATACATGCTACTCAATAGATATATACATGAGTTTAAATCTAACAATTTTGTTATAAACCCATATATATATATTTATTTATTTGATTTTACCATGTGAATCTATTCAATATTTGTAGCATTTTTCTTTTGATAATAATTCATTTATTAAGTTGTATAATAAGACCATCTAATTAATCAGTCCTAATTCAAATTCTATAGTCATGCTAACAAATTACAATTTAAATCTGAAATTTTTACTCACCACCTTTAAGACTAACAGTTGAATTTTTTACTTTTGATTGTCTTAAAATTTGAAAGTATTAATCACTTACTTCTTTTTGTTATACTTTTCCTTTGTTTATTTTTTTGTCCAAATTTAATTCAATATAAATACTTGATAATATTTAGAATTAAATATCTTCTTTATTTTCAATTTTTGAGTAAAAGAAAATGAATATTAGTGAAAAATTAATAATTTTTTTAAACCCCTGTATATATCTATTTAATTTTACTTAAATAGTACATTTAGGTGAAATCAAATAGAGATATATTACATGTTATTCGTATTATTCAGGTGAAATCAAATAGATATATACATGAATTAAAAAAAAGTTATTCGTACGCATGATCAATGAAGGATGAAAAAATTTATTTTGTAAAATATGAAGGATGAAAAAATTTATTTTGTCAAATGTGAGGGACAAAAATATTCATTTTATGAAATGTGAGGGATTATGGATCAGATAATACAAATTTTGATTTGACAATTTTACCCTTAAAAAATGATCACGTATAAGGTACGTGGTAGATTCTGATAAAAAACTAGTCAGAAACCTAGATAGGGATCATATTTGACCAATGTGAATTTGTAAGGGACGTAAAAGTACACTTTTAAAAGTGAGAAACGAAAAAAATTATTTTGCAAAAAGTGAGGGGCGTTTTGAACGATTTTTCCAATTTTTAAAGCAAGATATAGAATACAATGATGAATAGAAGCATGCACAATACATAAAAGATAAAAGTATTGTTATACTTTAATATTCATAAAAGAAACAACTTGTGTCATCTATGGACCATAATGTGTAACAACTAAATTTATTACTACAACATTTTTTCAAAACCCCATACTTTTCCAAACCCTTCCCATCCCCTAAATTTATCAAAACTAATGATATATATAAACTTCAAATTTGCCACAAATTCATAAGAAAAAAATACTATTCATACATTTTTATTGGAATTCACTTAACATAAGAACAAGAATTACATTCTTCCTTTAGTGAAAAACTCTTTTTTTTTGTTTACTATTCGTTATCACAAATAAGCTTTTTAGATAAAAATGATATAAAATTTTAATCTATTTATTGTGTAATAAAATTTAGACCATTGGTTGACTACATTTTTATATTTTTTTTTATTTTGAATGGGAATTGCATATGTTACTTCTTACAGCAAAATTTAAAAATTGTAAAGTTATTCTTTCATTTAGTAAATTTATTACTGATTTTTAACCTAATAATTGGATAAATTGTTGTCAATCGTAATGATTTAAAATTTTGTTTCAGTTTTAATTTTATTATTTCACGTACTTGTTAGGTCTTTAGATTGTAAATTGATATTTTTTTTATTTTTGAATTGCATATTTTTAGAGAAAGAGAGTTTTTAGGAGCTTGTTTGAATGGTCTAGAATAAAAACTAGATGAAGAATTTATACATGTATAGAGACATAGATGATAATATGTAAAATATAGACATTTGTTTAGATAATCTCATAATTTGAAAACACAGATAATAGATATAAAAACCAAATAGATTTTGGGAATAAAGGAAAAAATTCACAATAGTAATTTAGATTAGATTAATACATAACCAAAAATATATGCGGACTAGAAAACTCATTTTTCCTTTTGAATGTTAAAGTCGTGTGTATCGTCAAGGTGTTAGGATTTCAAATAATTTAAATTTTAAAACGATGAAAATATAGTCTACAATCAATTTCTGAGATCAATTCATTACATTTTAGGAATTAAAATAAATAGAAAATCTACAAAAAAATAAGGATTGAGAGTTTGGAGGTATGGGAAGACTTTTGACCGAAAACTCCTCCTATAATTTATATAGATATGGATATCTATATTACATATAATGAGAGATCCTCCTTTTAATGTAAACAATTTATGTCACCTAATATTATACCAAAAATAACCTCTAAAAATAATTTTAAAATATTCAAGTTCCTTCTTTTTTCTAGGCCATGATCTTGAGTAAGGATGTAAATGAATATAATCAATCTGAACACCCTAGTGTAGAGACTTGTTTGATTATTTTAATAAATTTAAAATTTTGTTCAAACTTGGCGTGTTTGTTCATCAAACTGAGTTTGAACAAGTTTCTTATCAAACTTGAATGTTATCAAACCTAAAATGCTGTTTCGATTTAGTTTGACTAGTTGGCGAACCAAGGTCGAACAAGCTTTTACCAAACCGAACTCGGTTCGAATATCAAATAGTTTGATTTATTTTTCAACCCTAATTTTGAGTACATTTACTCACATTCCCTCTTTTTCTCTACCATCATTTTAAATACAACAACTTCCTAAAAAATAAAAAGAAATATAGTAGTATCTATAGATTTTTCAGAAAAGCACATAAATCCCCTAACGTAATTTTGCATATAATAGTTCATTATAAAAAAATACATATTTATAAATTTTGAAATAAGGACATAAAGTGTGTCAAAAGCATAGTAGATGTTAAAGTGCATATCATGTTGGTGTTAGGATTTGAAATAATCTAAAATTTGAAATTATAAGAATATCATCCGCAATTAATACTGTGAAATCAACTCATTACATTTTTAGAATTTAAATAAATAGAAAATCTACAAAAAAAAAAAAGGAATTAAGGGTTTAGAGCTCTAGGAAGACTTCTAAGCAAAAATCCTTTCTTTAATTTATATAGATATAGATATTAAAGTCATAAGTATCATCAAGGTGTTAGGATTTGAAATAATTATGAGAACATAGTCTATGGTCAATATTTTGAAATTAATTCTTTATACTTTTGGAATTAAAACAAATATAGATATAGATATTAAAGTCGTGAGCATCATCAAGGTGTTAGGATTTGAGATAATGATGAGAATATAGATGGTATTGAAATCGAGTCATTAAATTTCAGGAATTAAAACATTAGAAAATCTATAATAAAAAAAAAGGAAGTGAGAGCTTGGAGGCCTAGAAAGGCTTCCAACCAAAAACTCCTTCTGTAACTTATACAGATATAAATGTTTGTTAAAGTCATGTGTATTATCAAGGTATTAGGAAATAATTTAAATTTTGAAATGATAAGAATATAGTCTACAATCAATATATTGAAATTAACTCATTACATTACATTTTAGAAATTAAAATAAATAGAAAATCTACAAAAAAAAAAAAAAAGAATTGAGAGTTTAAAGGTCTAGGAAGGCTTGTAACCAAAAACCTGTTCTATGATTTATATAGATATAGACATTATGGTACTTTGTTTTTAAATTTTTTTAATCCTCCCTCCCATTTTTCACACTCTTTTCACTCTCAACTGTTAGATGCAAAATTTGATCCTAAATCTAACAATAGAAAAAACTCTAAAAGAGTTCTCCCTTGATTATATATATATATATACACTAGTATGTGAATGCTAGTATATGTACTAAATTACTGAAATTTTCAAAAATAGTGCTACATTCATATCAATTTTAAGTCGTATTCTTCCATAAGAGACATTAGGTTATTAAATTTTTATCATCTTATTAGTTTTATATTGTACAAATCAATAGAAATTATGATATGTGCTATATTTAACTAGAGAGATGTGTTAATTATTATCCTCACAACAAATATTAAATTATGAAAATAAATTTAAATATTATTCGTGTAGTACAATACATCAAAAAAATTTACGTATTTTATATAGTTAGTCGAAAGGTACAAATTAATTTTTTTCAAACATGTGAAATTCGAAAGTTTTTTTTTTCTAATCATATTGTTGTAGCATACAATTCATTTTACTAGCTATGGTTATCTAATCTTTTAGGCTGTCCAAAAAATTGGTGTTTGAGTAAGAATTTAGATTTGACATTTAAGTGAGTCCAGACTCCTTAGTCTATATATATTCATGAGGGAGTGCTGATGAGAATGAAATGCTAAGCATTAATTATTTGGTATGATAACATTATAAAAGCGTTCACATTGGTGAATACCGTCTTTATTATAATTTATACATGGCAAGTGATTAAAAAAATTAGTTATATGTTGGATACCGTCTTTATTAGTCATGGCAAGTAATTAATTGAATCTATCCATGGAGAGGACGAAATAGAGATAAGTACGTACTAGGATCCTCACGCACTATATATATCTAACTATATATGCCTGAGTCGGGTGCCTCCTCCAGCACCGTTGGTCAGTTCTTCCAACACTTACCGCCACTTTCTCCACCCTTTCCACCAACTTAAAAAGTTCTCCTTAGACCAGGTAGGCTGACAAGTTTCCCATTTGTACATCTTTTTTCTTTATGCAGGGCATATCATTTTGTTTTTTTTTTTGTTCGATCAGCATTCTCTGGCCAAACATGAAATCAGAAAAAAAAAATTGTTTTTACATTTCGGGAGCACATTTTTTTTTCTTTTTTTCCCAAAAGATCTAACGAACCTTGAAAAGTTGGTATGGAATCTAACCTACACAAGAGCAATCACACGTACACACAACGAATCCCTGCCACCTGGTCCTCTATCCGTACAAAAAATTTCATGGTAAGGTGTCTTCTTCTCTTCTGTAACATCCACCAACAACCATTAACAACACACACACTATCTGAGGAAAACCTATAGCCCAACCCAAAAGGCATGATCAAAATTATGGCTTCTATTATTATATTTGTTGGTGGATTAATTTTTGTAGAAGAGAAATTTGCAACGGTGGATTGTCTGTCAATGAACTGAAAAACAAGAGTAGGAGAAATTTGTTCATCCCACCTGCTGACAGCTATGGTAGCTATAGTTCTTCTTAAATCCCCAAATACTCTTCTGAAAATGAGCTTTTTTCCAGAGCATGGGTACCTGACTGCAAGTTCGAAGAGATTTAAGCTATAGAATGCTGCAAAAATGGGGTCTTCAGCAGTAACGTGTAAATATAAACCCAGCCGTAGTATTCCATGGTAAATTTCTTTTTTTTTTTTTTTTTACTGCTACCCATATCCCCAAGACAGCTTAATCAGTAAATCGGTTGCACCTGATGAAAAGGATTCAGTCATACATAACCCCTCCAAAAGGAAACTAACATCTTCCTCTCTAATTCCTGCATAATCTCGTTTGCTTTTTTGAATTTGTCCATGACACAGAAAATTTACTCTTCTTCTTTTCTTTTCTATTCTGTAGAATCTGTACTGCTGTCTGCTGTTGCAGATTAAGGCCTGTTTCTTTTCATATTACTGAGCAATGGGAAACATTTTACAGTTAAATAATCCTTCTTCTTCTTCTTTTCTTCTTTTTTTTTACCCTGTTCCAAAAAAGTTTAATTGTGGTTGGAACTTAATGGTTGGGCAGCTGCATGGGTTGCTTTGGCGGTATCTTCAACAAGAACAAGGTGATCTTCATCATGGGAGCCACAGGAACTGGAAAATCCCGTCTGTCAATCGACCTGGCAACCCAAATTCCTGCTGAGATTATAAACTCGGACAAAATACAAGTGTACAAGGGACTTGACATTGTGACCAACAAGGTTACCGAGAAGGAGAGAGAAGGGGTGCCGCACCATTTGCTGGGAGAAGTGGAGCCTGATTCCGACTTCACTACTCGTGACTTCTGTTACGAGGCACTCTCAGCCATAGACAGGATTCTGGACTCTGGTCGATTCCCAATCATTGTTGGTGGATCCAATTCGTTTCTCGAAGCACTTGTGGAGGACCCTCTTTACAAGTTCAAATCAAGATTCGCTTGTTGCTTCATTTGGATTGATGTTTCCCCACCCGTTCTTTTTTCCTATGTCTCCAAAAGAGTTGATCAGATGGTGGATGCAGGTCTATTCCCTCTCTCTCTCTCTCTAATTCGCCCCTTTGGTGTGTGTGTGTGTATGTAACACCCATGCTTGTATAGTATTGAGTTTGATATAGATTAGGTCTACATTTGTCTTATCTCAACAAAAAAAAAATATATTATTGGTCGGATAAATTAAAGTAGATTAGATGTGCTTTATTGTGATAAAAGGATGCGTAAAATAATCAAACAATTTTTCACATCGGATTATTTTCCGACCGAAATTGAAATTACATTACGAATTAGCCACGTACGACTGTTAGTGAGTTGGGTCCTTTTTCTTGATTTATTATCCGGCTCAAATAAAGGTTAAAATCAATCTAATACCAGAGATTAATGCTTGCATCACTATAAGCAGGCCTAGTTGAAGAAGTTGGAGAAATATTTGATCCGGAGGCAGATTATGGCAGAGGCATTCGACGGGCAATTGGAGTCCCTGAAATGGACGAGTACTTTCGGGCGGAGGCAAAAATGGACGAAACAAGCAAGGAGACGTTGCTGGCTTCAGCTATTGAAGAAATTAAGAGCAACACTTGCAAATTAGCTTGCCGTCAGGTGGAGAAGATTCAGAGGCTAAAGAACGAGCTTAGATGGCCCATAAGCCGCATCGATGCTACAGTTGTGTTCGAGAAAACAAGCGGAGAAGAAGCTGATAATGCATGGAATATGTGCGTCCTCGACCCATGCATGGAGATACTCAGTCCATTTCTCAATGCATAGCAGCAGGAAGCCCTTCCCCCAAAAGAAAAAAAAATGAACATCATGTCCCAACCGAGATGAAAATGTCTTGGAAGTTGCAAATTAGCTGGCTTACATCTATATATATATATATATATATATATATAGCAAAAATTTTATGGATGGTTTTCCTTGGCTATGGTGTGTAGGAAATTTAAGTTTGCGTAGAAGCGAGATTTTACATGGTTGGATTAAATCTAATCGTGTATTGGAAAATATTATAACCTTGATAGTCTTCTTCATAGCCATAATTGATAATACCAGTCGTATTCTTTTTTTTTTTTTTGGGGTCAGAAACACAAGAAATTAAAAGGCTTAACTCACCCTGTAAATCATGTTCCCACATAAACCAGTTATCTCAATTCTCAAATTCAGCTCCAACTCATATTAAATATGCCCTAAACAAGTAAGAATACAACATCTGGTGAACACGAAAGAGAGCACAAAGCAAACAAACCAGACTAACTAAATCACCAAATCAAGCAGAGACGACACTGGAAAAGAAAACCAGTCACTAGCAAATGGAAAATGTGAGCCATGCACGTAGAGAAAGATCGATCAAGATCAGAGCGTGGTGGTGCAGGATCCAATTAACAATGGAAGGAGTCGATAATATGGCATTTGACAGGGAGTTCCATGGCGTGGTCGGGATCAATTCCAAACATAGGCATGTAGCTGGAAAATGAGCAAAGGCAAGTCAAGTCGGCAAGCTTGAGAGCCGTGCAACAACGACCCTGTTGCGGGACCTTAACAGCTGCAGCCGCCACAGCTGGTTTGCAGGACATCAGATCGTCAATGCTTATCCCACAAATATCACTGGGGTGTACTACAGGGACAGCATTGGCCCCAATGGCGGCTGCAACCACCACCAAAGCAGTCACCACGGCAAGCTTGCCAGTATTACTCGCTGCTCCCTCCATTGATAACCGATATATCCTGTCGGTGTTCAACTAACTAGCTATGCTTGTGTAGTTAACCTGTGGATATAGTGTTGATGATATTGTGGTTTCAGGGATATCGACTGGAGCTTGTATTTATAGTAGTGGAAATGTAAGACATGCAGAGAGGAGGTGGTAATAACTAATTGTGAGTCGTACCTCCCGTGATTATGCATGTGAGTGTGAGTGTGCGCGGGCTTTTTTTTTTTTTTTTTTTGGTATTGGAAATGGTGAAAGAAATGCGAATAGTATAATTCAAATTAGAGTGAATGATTAAAAAAGTCACAAAACTATTAAATATGACACAAGTTTGTAATGAGAAGAGTCGCTAAACTGGCAAAAATAGGTCATGGAGATTATTTTGTCAAATTCTATCGGTAAATCATTGAAATTTAACAATCTTTTTGGTAAAATTGCCATTGGCAATCGATTGTTTTATAGGTAAAATTTGATAAAATAACCTCGTTCACCCTTTTTTTTAATTTAGTGATTTTTGTGGCCATAAAAAAGTTTGATAATTGATCCGTGCCAAATTTAATAGTTTAGTGACTGCCATTCACTCTTCAAATTATCCCATCCTTTAAAAATGTAGCAACTCTAGTGGCTAGTCAAACTCTGCCACCCTTTTCTCCAATTTCATGCATGTTGTTTTTTTGTTTGATTGCAACGTCTTTGTATAATTTCCTATAATATATATATATATATGACTATGCATAACCTACCTTTTTGCTTTGACGTGTATTTATAAAAAATGACTGAAAAAAAAAACCTACTTTTGAATGATCATAAGACAAACTTCAAGAGTTGTTAATTAGGAAGTCATTGAACAGCCAACATACCTTTAAGGTGTGTTTGGATTGTATTTTCCGTCATTTTTCATGAAAAAATTACTGTAGCGATTTGATATATGTGAGAGAAAAAGGTGATAGGGAAATATGATCACGAAAAACGATAATATTTTTCGACGAAAACAAGCAATCCAAACACACCCTAATAGGGATTTACTTAATTTCTAATGGATGTCTCGTGACTAAGTGCCACATCTGTTGGCTTTATCCACCAATTTGTACACCAAAACCTCACGGGCTTGCTTTGTATGATGGGGTGGACTATTTTAATTAGCGGCTTCTAAACAGGATTAACTTTTGCATCGATCTTGAATCGCTTAATTCCTTGGTTTGAAAAATTTTACTAGTAAATTTTATTGAAGAGGGCTGTGCCGGTTTGCACTTTCTCTCTGTCAGTAGTGTCATGTGGACTCGAAACTTTCTTGAAGCTTTCTGCGGGTCTTCGGAATTAGGTGAATCTCAAAACACTCTGATTACGACCGAAGCCCGTGGTATACAGTGCATCGCAACATCAAACTACTCTTATTATCTTAGTTTAGTTGCTAATTAGTTCTATTCTATGCTCGCAAACACTTCTGCTATTTTGTGACAGAGTAATGATGGCTACATTGTTTGAATTAATCTTATACACAGTGAGTGACAGTGTATGCGCTGTCACGGTTGAATATATGTAAAGTTTGAATTTCAAATTCGAATTCAGATTAATTATCATGCATTTAATATTATTAATGTATAGAGTGCCGGGCTAAAGAAAATTATTATAGCATATAATGTTGTAATTCGAATTATTGCAAATCCACCCATGTTTGGGAACAGGTACAGCAGAGTAGCAGAGGTTTATGGAGCTGTATTAATAGTTTTGATTGCAATGATTAAGATAATTTAGTGGTATTAGGTAAGTCACATGAGTTAGCGCAGCAGCTTTAAACACTACTGGTAACAGATAGTATGTCACTATGTGAGGAAATTATCAGCATATAATAAACATGAATACTTCTTAAAATAATATTTGGGTTTGTTTGGATAGTGTATTATTTGAAATATTATTTGGAATAATTACTGTAGCACTTTTTGTGATGTGATGTATGTGAGATAAAAAGGTGATCGGGAATATAAAAAGGTGGATTGGGAAATACGTTTATGATGCAAGCGAAATATTATTTGGAATAAAAGCACTGTCCAGATAAAAGCATTATTATTAACAACTAGTGGCTTATCAGAATTGTGGTGCTCTTGAAGTTTCAAAAATCAGAAATATTGGCTTCAAACCTCCGTTCTCTCTCACTTCGTTTTTTAGATCCCACTCATTTCCTGTCGAAAGGAGACGAAAGAAATTGGTGATGCATGTATACAGGTATTAGATATAACAATGTTTGTACTTTTTCCCCCTTCAATTTACCAAGGCAATAACAAAAAAAAAAAAAAAACACGCGCGCGCGACATTTTTTTGCTAACAGCATATCTTCATGGATGATTTATTATTGAATTGTTTTAAAAGCTGATTTTGGAACTGATGCGAGGATGCTTTGGAAGCTTGAATGCAGGGCGAATTTAGTTTAGTTTCACGACGAAAGCAAATATTAAACCCCATGCAAAATCACGCAGATTAGACGGTGCCTTTTCAGCATATGACATTTGAACCCATGACCTAGGATGCGTAACCCATGCTGGATGACAAGGCCTGCCCATATCCATCCAATATGACCTACCATGCTCAAGTCCAACAGGAAACGCTCAATTCAATTGAGAACTCTCAATGCAAAAAAAAGAAGTAATTAATCTTTTTTACATTAACAATGTATACGTGATCAGTGTTATATAAATTTTAAATTTAATTTTTACAGACATATCATGAATCTAATATTGATAGCATATACGCTATCAGTGTACGGAGGATTTATTTAAAAAAAATTAAAAAAGAAAAAGAGAGAGGCTTGTGAATGACAGAATACGAGCGTCACGAAGCACGTGACGAGAAGAATCAATTGACGTAGCGTGGGATCATCTTGGAACGATCTAAAGGCGGCAACCAGTGTGGCGGTGCCACGCAGTACCATGTGACGTGTCACCTGGGAGAAAGAAACACCCTCTCCCGCTCATTTTCTGGAAAGCGAGCTGGTCCAACTCCAACCACGCCTCCTACAAAGATAACCACTTCTCGCCGGATCTGCCTGTGATTCCTCCTCTAAAACAGGGGATTATTCGGAATAATCTTTTTTAAGAAAATGCTAAAGTACTTTTTGATATAAAGTAAATTATTCGGATGCTTACTGAACTTTTGAAACAGTTGAATTTTGATCATTGAACTATTAAAAAATTAATTTTGGCTGTTAAATTATCTAAAGTTTAAATCTCGGATCATTATATTAAATTTAATCATTAATTATGTCCTTTTTTTTTTGTCTCGTGAATCATGCAAGCACTTAAATCTGTTATGTCTAATGATTAAATTTAACAGAATGATCAGAAATCTAAACTTTAAATAGTTCGATGGGCAAAATCAGATTTTCAATAGTTCAACAGTTAAAATTCGACGATTCTAAAAAGTTTAATGACCATCCAGATAATTTGCTTTTTGATATATTACATGGAGACAAAAATATGATTAAAAAATATATTTATGATGTAAGTAAATAAGTTTGTATAAATAATAAACTATCCAAATAAATCCAAACGGCTATTTTAAATAAATAAATTTGTGCAAATAAAATGTATTTATTTCCATTCATTTTGTTCCGCTATTTCAGCCCTTGTCACCAGCTATTCTATCAATATCTCCATTCCAAACACCCCTGCTCCTCACCCAAAATCACATAAACATAGAGTATTGTTTAAAATATTATTTAGATCAATTATTAATATTTTCTTGTGATATGATGTGCTATTTCCATTCCGTTGATAGTCTCATGTTACTTTTTTTTTTTTTTTTTTGAATTGTCTAAACATGTTTGTCACTTATGCAATATAACAAAAAAATATTCTTTGATTACCCAGTTTACCCTTTGAGTGTTGTCACGCTCGATTTTGGATATCTTCTTACACATAGGAAGACACTAAAAAATCTGTTTCATTGAATGTGTCTACCAAGGGTAAAGTGGGAAATAAGCAACATATGGCCTCAACTTTTGCTACTACACATTTATTAAAAAAAAAAAATTTCCACTAAGAACACAAGCAACGCTATTATTATTATTTTTTTTTTTTTGCATGACGAAAAGAGCTTCTAGTTGGTAAAAAACCGAAACATCAAAATTGTTTTTAATGAAATAGCCAACTTAGTGACTTACCAAAGGAAAAAATTATTCATGTAAGCAGTATTACAGCATACTTTGTCTAAATTTTAGTGATGATAATAAGAGATCAAGCTAATAACAGGAATAGAAAACGTGA